AGTCATGGCACATCAGTTTCTGTTTCAAATCTAGTCTATTTTTTTGTGTGCTGGTCTTGTCTTGTCCTCATGCCCAACTTGGCCACATTGTTGACTTGCCATAAAAACACCGAGCAGCAAAAAGAAAAAGGAAAGCAGATGCAATGCACGTGAAAGCATCAAGCGCTGCAATTTCGCAAATTGTCTTGAAATGCAAGAATGCATTTCATTCCTTTTTTTTTTTTTTTTTTTTGTGCCCAACCAACGACCACGCCCCCTGCACCTTACCATCCGCTTACACGCCCACTTATCAGCACGCACTGCTCTAGCTGCACCGCAGGCATCTGCTCGCCGGAATTATGAAAGTGGGCTGGGCCACGCTTAGCACTTGCCCAGCTTCTACAATTCACAGAGACACAAATCAAGCTGCTACGAGGTTAGTTTCAAAAGCTTTTCAATTTCTATTTAAAAACGTGCAAATAATTTGTGCATGTTTTGCTTTTGACAACTGTTTAGATCGAAAGTAAAATGTGAATTGCAGTATTGGGTTCGAGTTGGTTAGATTCAAAAACAACCATAGTCTTGGTCATATTATTTCACGCATTCCCAATCCCAGTACTGTTAGAACAGCCCTCAAATCAAGTATATTATATACGAACTAAATTAGTCACTTTGTGTGTAGGTCAGCAATTAACGTTGAAGAACGTCTGCCATGTCTAAGAGAAGCAAGAGCCTTTGCAAAAGATATAAAAGTGTCTCTGCTGCGACACAGCCCCAAAACTGGTGCCACAATGGTGAGCCACAGTTGCCTTACAACTCCAAGGATAACTTAAAGAGCTGCGCAGTTACATACAGTTGGTAGACACTGTATAACGAAAATATTCTTGGTTACAGAAAAGCAATTCCGCAAAATGCGCTTATATTGGCATAAAATATAATACGAGCAGCTATGTTCTGTGCAGGCACTCGGTAACCAAGGCCTTCTGGCCTTTTTGTTGCCCCTTTTTAATAACTGAACTCTTAATTACAATCAGTACTCTCGTCAACATCTGCTAACAACAACCACACACACACTCGCCTCATTTGTACTAGTTTTGCTTAGTTTTCGGCAATAACATGAAGCACAAATTAAGCCAAAGTCCGAATATTGCCTACATTATTGTGCATGCCTAAAGTACGAGCACTCGCATGTGAAAGACTTTATATACGCAGCACTCGCAAAATATTCACATACGCATTTAAGATAGAGATACAGTGAAAGCTTAAGTTAAGTTATACGTATAATTATTCCATCACACTTAAGGTAATTAAAGTTTGCATACTTAACTAAGTCTCTGCTATTATAGGTAATTGTCTTATTTAATATTTACTTGCTTTTTGCGTCCCCTTGCATGATATTCCAATTTAAGCGTCCTACTTCGTTGTAACCCAAATAAATATTAAAATATCATAGTCGCTATTAAATATTAAATATGTCGATGACATAGCAACTCCTGACCAACATGTGGGCTTCCCTAAATCACCCTCAACCTCTCGAAATCAATATATGTCCGAGCATTTGTCTAAAAAGGGAAATTAGTTTGATGAACAGAACTTTTCCATATTAAAGTTTTTCACGCATGTTCCGCTGGTGGCGGTGAATATTTTGAAACATTTACTAATTCTGCGAACATGATCTTACAGAAAAGCCCTTTTATCTAGCCTGTCCTTGATGCGAAGATTCTTTGTATTTTTCCTGCTTAGGTGACTGCTCTTTGCTGCGATTCCCTTAGGATACAGTTCTTTGGTATGCCATATATTTTTGTTATGTTCCGTAACCTCCAATGGATTATGTTTAATGCCGTCCAGTTTTGTACTGCGCTTCCATGATATGAACTCAGAAATTGGTTTCAATACTAAAAAATAGAGCACTTCGGCAATCGAGATCACGCTGAAACCCATAAACAATCCCATGACACCGCCAATATTAGCTGCATAGAAAAAGCGAAATGTTATTGTGCATCGATTGTAGCCGAGTCAAGTGCTTACACAAGAACTCCGTAAAGCCGATATAGACGTTCTTCATACTGCCGTAATAGGCAGATTCGCGATAGTACAAATTCATGACGGCAATATTCTCCAGCACATAGGATTTGTTCATATTGGCCACCTGTTTGTTCGCAATCCGAAAGTCGCGTTTGGCCAGGGGAAAGTATAGCGCATCGGCCGCATACGATATATCAAAGCAGCTGGGCAGGCATTCCTTTCGGCATTTCGACGACTCCGCCCGATTCTCCGGACGCTGGGCGCGACGGATGCAGATCGCATCCCTCACACTGCAGACGCTCGCATTTCTGTAAATATGCGGATAGGTGTAGGGTATGCAGTCGCAGGACTTGTACAGAAACTTGGCAATGCATTCGTTTTCACAATATTTGTGTGTGTAGATCTTGTGGTAGAGCAGCTCCTTCTCGTTCTTAAAAACACACTGACGATCGTCGCGTGATATGGAGCGAATGGTCGGCATCGCTTCTGAGCTGCTAACCTCAAGGCGAAAGTTCGTCTCGTAGCCAACGCCCAAAACAAGGCCCTCCTCCTTAACATTTGGCATTGTTATGGGATTGTGAAATAGGATCTGAAAATTACATTTAAACTGTAAACTTAATAATAGTTTGCTCGAATCTAGGTATATTTAGGTTTCTTTTTTTGTTAAACTTGACGAACGTACTGCTAAAACTCTTTGAGAATTATAAACATATTATTATATTATTCATTTGTGTACGATATGCATGCGTTAACTCATGTATTCTATTCTAAATTATGAGTTCCCTTCCCTTATTGAACCTGTTTCTTACCTGATCTATTATATATAAATCATATACAGACCTTGAAACCAATTCCGTTCGTAGAGGAGCAATAATATTCGCTCAGTTGTGCATCCAGAACTGCCGTAAAGCCCATTGTTATGCCGGTACCTATATACAATTTGTCAGTCATAATATAGTCCTAATTGTGTTGGAACACATGGAATTTACCAACGGCCGTTGTTGGATAATATAATCTTGGCAAGTCGTCCGGATATCCGGTTTCTGGGTCCCAAGCGACAGGCACGTGTCCAAGTCTTGATGTTAAGTTTCTGCCACTGTTCGAACTGAGATAAATGATTATATTGATTCATCTTGATTTAGTCAGGCCACTTACTAGGGCTTATATAAAAACTCTGAAGGCAGAAAATTGAATACACAACATAAGCCCTCATCAGTGATAATTTGGCGAAATAATTGGTCGCAATCATACTCCACGGCGCTGAACCTGCAATACCGCAGCATTTGTCCGCAGGGCTGGGAATGATTGGTGACAAAGTCGGATATTTTTAAGCTGTTGTTGGCAAAAGTAGTGGACCACATCATTGGGTCAGCATCAACAGATTCCTCAGTTTCGGCCGATTCGGGACTGCAGAGCAGTTTCAGTACATCAAACTCACTCGAACCCCTAGTTTGGATAGAAATCAACGGATGGTTATCACATATATAAATACTGGAAGCGCTCACTTCTTGTACTGCAGCACTTTGCTGCGCTGAACCTGATTCATGTTGCATATAGTTATGGCCGGGAAGGGCACCTTCAGAATCGATGTGGCATGCGGACTGATGCCAATGATAACTGGCGTGCTATTCCACTTGGCATAAATGTTCGATATCAGCTGGCAGGTCATCACGAATGCGGCCAAGAAGGCAATCAAGAAGAAGGATCTGCAACTCGCCTAGACTAGATCTCAGCTGGAGTATTGTTTAGTGTCAACTTTTACCTTTCCCAAATGCTGAGCGTTGAGTCGCCTACAAATTTGAGTCCGTGCAGTCCAGTTTCCCTTAGAAACACATTCAGGCTTTTCTTGAAACTATTTAAGAAGAATGCCAAACTCCTTTGACTCTTCTGTTTGGCCGCCATTGCGTCTATTGCGTCTGTTTGGCCACAATTCTGAGCTACTTATACTCAAGTATGCTCAAAGACATTGAAAATCCCACAGGGCGATTAAGCTTGGTAATTACTTGCTTCCAAGTAAATGGAGCTGGTTGCATAATAATTAAAGCTTATTGATTGCAAGCAATTCACCTAATTAGTTTTGTGGTTTTCGCTGCGCTCTCTAAAGGCACTAATCAGATATGCAGGACATACACTCTTCGAATGAAGCGTGTGCTAATTACTGAGAGCTTGGCTCACTTAAACTTTGTCCATTTGACATTTGACCTTTAAATGTACTCTATCTGTCATATATATAGCCAAATTGTCTGGCCAATTGTTGGCAAAATCAGATGTGCAGGACATACACTCAAGCATATATGAATTACTGAGAGCTTTGTTCACTTTATTTGACAAAGCTTTATCTCTACCTGTCATACATATATAGAACAAGATTTTATTATAAGTAGATACATTATCAATTGCTTAAAGAATGTTCGCCCCGACTTACTTATCAATTGGGGAGAGAATAGAGTAGATTCCGAAGACCTACATATCTATTATTTGTAAATTGTTAAAGACTTGTTTTATAGTTTTCCAAAAAGAATTTATTTTACAATTAAGAATTATAATTTTTTCAATAATTCAATATATAAAGCTATGGAGATTCTGACAGTCATATCAAACGATAAGCTTGGCTAACGTATGCCTTATCCATATGTAGCTTGATAAGATAAAGCAAATGTTATCAATATAAATAAAAGCTTATGCATATCAAAAAAGCACAAAATATAAGCTTAGTTTACCCGGCATTGTACGACACAGATTGATTATTGGTAGATCAAAGTCGATCAATTGAACTAATTAGTTTCATGTGCGTGAACTCAAATCTATTTCCATCTTTATACATATCATTTATACAAATATCTCTATGTAAAATTATGGTTAATTATATATATTTTACTCTATGGCAAGCATATTTATTCATTGATAACAAAGCTTTGCTGCACAACTAAAAGCTTCCGCACGTGATCACGAACCGGTTATGAGAGGCCGGCCGAAAGTTGTTTGGCCCAGTTAATCAGTTCGATTTCGGTTTGATCGCAATGAGGGTACGACGAAATCCGCTCCCTCGGCGGCTGGTCGATGTTCTGTGCTATCTAGTTATTGGTGTATTTCTGCCCATTGTATTCATATTTGAAATAATCGTTGTGCTGCCCGCTATACACGAACCTGGCGGCTTTTTGCACACCTTCACTTTCCTAATGGCCATGTTTCTGTTGTTCAACATCAAGGGCAACATGTTAGCCTGCATGGTGATTGACACCAGCGTTGACCGTGAGTGAAGCTTCAGCTAAATGCCGAGATTTCCACCTTACTCGTTTGCAATTGCCTTCGTTTTCAGATGAGCATGTCAAGGCGCCGCCAGATAGCGAGGCAGTACGTCTGGGCTGGCGACATTGCACCACTTGCGATCGATTAGCACCTCCCAGATCGTGGCACTGTAAGGTGTGTGGTGTTTGCATATTGAAACGCGATCATCACTGTCTCTTTACGGGCTGTTGCATTGGCCATCAGAATCACCGGTATTTCATGTGCTTCACAATGTACCTGCTGGTGGGCTCGATCTACGCCCTGGCCTATAATTCGGTCTATATGTGGCTGCTCAATGGATCAATTTACTGCAACTGGCTGACGGCCGTGAAACTAGTGTGTCCCATGTTCATGCTCGTGATTGGCAGCTTCTGGACGAACATGCAGCTGTTGTTCTATAGCCTGAACATCTTGGCGCTTTTGTATGCAAGTGTGATATTGGCATATCATGTGCCCATTGTGCTGCGCGGTGAGGTCTGTGCAGAGAGCGGCAAGCAGCACACATATAACAATGGACTCCATTGTAATCTGAGAAGTGTTTTTGGCCAACGTATGCATGTCGCCTGGCTATCACCTTTGGTAAAAAGCCAGTTACCCGATGATGGCTACACCTGGACGATCAACTCGGCTGAAAAGTCAATGGAAACCAAGAAGTTGAAGTAAATGCCACTTAAAGTTTATTAATGAATAGAAAACGAGTCAGAGCGTTGCAAATGACTGCGCAATACTCTTTCTTCTGATTCTGCTGCTGATTCTAAGACTGTAACCACAACCACAGTCACTTTAAAACTGTGATGTGAGCAAATATGCACATCTTTAGCAGAAGTCCTAAATATTTGCAGACTCTAGCTTTGTATATTCCAAATAATGAGTCCCTTCAGCTGACTCTCGGACTAAACTAATATACTTCTATTTCGCCTTGTGAACAGAGTATAATAGGAGCAATATAAAATGTAAAAGGACTTATTTGTAGACCTATATGATCTATCTATAATTAAAAACGATAAGAATCTTACAAATTTGAAAATATAAGTTGTCATATCAAATTTTAAAATAAAGGCACTTTGTCATTGATAGCTTTTAAGTAAGTAGGTTTGTTTAAACAATAGTAGAGAGCATAAGGAAACCCTTTCACTACCCTGGACGGAATCTCAACTAACTGAAGGCTACTCAAGAGCCATTTGCCGATTCTTAGAAAGACGCGACAAATGTTCTTAGATACAGAAAACATCGTAGTATGCCTGTAATTTACATCATAAACAAACATATATAAATTTATAAATTATTAGTGAACATTTTTGTATACCTGTAAGAATTCCGCCAAAAAAAAAAAAAATAGAAATTGTTCATATGAAGTTTCAACGAAATCCCATGCCACGACTGTTTGGCGACTTTCTGTGTCTCCTAATAATACTCGTACTTTGGCCCCTAGTCTTTATATATGATTTCATCGTGGTACTGCCGGCAATAATTGAGCGGGACAACATTTTACACATATCTGCGGTAGTTTTATTTATATTCTCATTTGTCAATATGATCGCAAATCTAATGGCATGCACCGTGGTTGACACAGCCGTTGACCGTGAGTATCAGTTCGAGCTGCGATTAACTATGAACCCTTAGCTACATACTTTCATTTTAAGGGGAAGTTAAAGTACCGCTTGATGAGGCGGCCGAGTGGAAATATTGTCAAGTGTGCGATTGTGCAACACCTCCCAGGTCGTGGCACTGTAAATTTTGTGATGTTTGCATACGAAAACGCGATCATCACTGTGGATTCACGGGCTGTTGCATTGGCCATCAGAATCATCGATATTTCATCTTCTTCCTCTGGTATCTTTTCGTTCTGTCGGCAGTCGGCCTGGTCTTTAAAGCATGCTATATGTGGTCGAGCAACGATTTTATGCACTGCTGGAAGGCGTCAATGGAGCTGACACCCATCATCTTAATAACTGGTTGCGGTGTTTGGATTCATGTTCAATTCATCATAATTGTGCTGAACGCTTTCTCATTAATATGCGGATTCCTTGGATTGGTGTGCCAAATACCCATGCTATTGCGCGGCGAGACGTGTGCCGAGAAGGGGAAACAAACCAAATATAATTGCGGCGTCTCCTATAATCTGAAAACTGTATTCGGCGAACGGATGCATGTCGCCTGGATATGTCCATGTATCGAAAGCCAACTGCCTGATGACGGTTACACAACCAATCATGAATTTAACGCAAAGAACTAAGTCGAACTGGAGAAGACTGGACGAAATTATCCCTCCAAAAATATCATTAATATAAACAAAAGTATATACTAGCTAATTTTATCTGCCATTGCCCGGGCGAATCCCGACCTTTGCCCGTGCAAAAATAAAAATTTACATGTTTTTCTCGAATCTTTACGTTTTTACCATTTACTGGCTTGTCGAAGCACATATACTTCACAATACAATCTTTGACTTCCATTTACCATCCTCGATTAATCAAATAATATCTTTCCACACAAAATCTTTGAGTACTTTTCCTAAGCACACTTTTCTCTACAGCTACAATTAAGGTGAACTACAAATTCAGTTTCAATTCATAAACAACACGTTAAACTTGTCAACAAAAAAAAAATAAAAAAAATAGAGAAAAAATTTTTGGTTCTAAAGAATTAATTCTGTGAGTTAAGTTTTCCAAATGAAGTTTCGACGCAATCCACTTCCCAGTCGGCGAATCGACATTTTATGTTTCTTAACTGTCGGCGTATTGATACCGGTTGTCTTTCTATTTGATATCCTAGTCTTGCTGCCGGAAATACATGAACCCGACGGTCATCTATACACTTTCACACTCATAATGGCCATCTTTCTCCTGTTTAACATCAAGGGCAATATGATAGCCTGCATGTTGATCGACACCAGCGTCGACCGTGAGTAGAGCCAAATTCGGAAATGTCCATGCAATACCTCTGTACATTTTCAGATGAGCATGTCAAGGCGCCGCCAGATAGCGAGGCAGTGCGTCTGGGCTGGCGACATTGCACCACCTGCGATCGCTTAGCGCCTCCCAGATCGTGGCACTGTAAGATCTGTGGTGTTTGCATTCTACGACGCGATCACCACTGTATTTTTATGGGTTGTTGTATTGGGCAGCAGAATATGCGGCATTTTATGTGCTTTACTTTCTACCTATTCATCGCAACGGTCTATGCGATGGCCTATGAATTGTATTATGTATTTGCGAGTTATATCGAGGAATTGAAGATTTTAAGTGCGTTGCGTAAACAGCTTTGGGGTCCATTTGTATGGTGTTTCAATTATTTTGAAATTGCACTCAAAATTACGTTTCTCCTCAAAATGCTATCGTTTATTGGCGCTGGCATAGCATTGGGCTATTTTGTGCCCCTCGTGCTACGTGGCGAGGTGAAGGCCAACAGGGGAAAGCAGCACAATTACAATTGTGGTATCTATGAAAATCTGAAAAGTGTATTTGGCCAACGGATGTATTTCGTCTGGATATCTCCTTTGCTGCGCAGCGAATTGCCTAATGACAGTTACATTTTAAAAAATGACGACTCTGGGAAGATTAAATAACTTGATCTCATCTGTTTACTTGATATTCTAAGACACTCCAAAGAACACGAACATAAAAAAATAAAAAAGAAATCCATCCACTCTTTATTGTACTTTGGCCAATTAGTGGTTCTTCAACTGTGGCGAGTCCTATTGTTCGATAGGAAGGCCATATATGAGGACAGTTACTTTGGCACTTCTGGATTCGGCATCCGCAAACTGAGCGCAGCTCAAACGCAATGTTGTGTAATTGAAACCAATACCGCCTTGAACTATCGCTGCTTTTATAGTCGATTCCGGTTGACTTTCATCAAAAACCAATATCAGATTTATTGTAAACTTGATACTGTCCTTTAAAATGAGCAGTCCATCTCTTTATTTAGAAACTAGAATACTTTAAGCTATTTACCCCGCTCAACGCATTGTCTGCATACTTCATGTAGCGGACGGCACAGTCCCAACTAATCTCGGCTTCATAAATGGGCACTGCAGCTGGATGCATATATCCAAATTGGCACGAGTATCCGAAAATGTTGGATATGAAGCCGAATACGTAGATGCCATAAACTGACAGCAGTACTAATGGAGACATGATCTGATTCTAGACAACATTGCCGAATGCCTGCAAATGGTAGCACTCTCTTCTAGAAAAGATCTTATCAACAAATTAAATATTATCTAAGTTTCTGTGCTTTTAATGTAATTGATTTTATATTTCTGGTGCATAATAGCTGATAAGAAAAACTAATTCTAAATAGTAACTTACTCAAATTAATAAAGGAAAAGACTGTTATTTAAAAATTGTTGTACACGTTTGCTTTATTGACGATAGAAGACTCCTCTTAAATTTTATATATCATACAAAAATCGGCTTGTATAGAATATCTTAAACCTTTACTTATATATTTTATGACAGCTTTATCAAATATGAATGTATTGCACCGATATATTTTATTTTATGATTTAAAAGTTGAATATTAAAATATGCCTGCATATTTCAGACGTTAACTAATAGATACTTAAAGATAAATTAACCCAATTAACATTCAATAAGAATAAAATTCAAAATGTGCTTATCGGCGGTTACGCTAACAGCGATACGTGAATATCTAATCGATTGCTATCGACTATCGCGCGCAGATGTTATCGGTTTCGATAATTGCCAGCTGATTTGCAGGTCTTATTCAATACACACGCTCGCGAGCTAAAATTCGATTTGCATGGTGAATTGTTAATGAAAATGCTTCGTAAACAATTTGTTAACTTGTCGCGCGTCTCAACGCACCTGCCGCGTAATGTGTTAGCATCGCGTGCGGCGAGCCGCGGTGCAGAAATGTCAACAAATGTGGCACCGGCTGAAACGGCGACCGCACCTCCCCCCGTCATCAATGAGTTTCGGACTGGCGTAACCAATCCCGGTGAGCAATCGGAGCTGCATGTGGCTAAATTCTATACCATACCGATCGAAGAGAAGAAGCAAATCTTTAGCGGAGGCGGTTTACCGAAACAGTACGAGAAACAGATAAAAACATTTACAGAAGCCTGCCTAATGGTGCGTTCTCCTGCCCTGGAGCTGTTGCATTATATCAAGAATGCGGATCTGACGAAACCGGCGGTACGCTATGTGCTGTATGGCGACAACGGCGTGGGCAAGACCCTGACCATGGCACATGTTTTGCATTATGGCGCACTCAACGACTTTCTGCTGGTGCATGTGCCTTGGGCACCCAACTGGATGAAACGTCCCAAGGAGGCAGCAAATTCAGCCAGCCAAGAGGGCTTCATAGATCTGCCATTCGATGCTGCCGCCTGGCTGATACACTTTAAAGCGCAAAACTCCAAACTGCTGCAACGCTTACAGCTAAAGACCAGCAAGGAGTACGTGTGGAGCAAGCGTGAGAGCACGCCAGCTGGCGCTACACTGATAGAACTTGTGGAGCATGGCATTGCGCGAATCAAGTATGCCTCGGAAACGACAGCTGCGCTGATCTCGGAACTGAAACAGCTTGCCACTGCCGGACAGTGTAAGATCATGGTGGCCATTGATGGATACAATGCCTTCTTTCATCCCATTACGCGCATCTTTTCCGACAACAAGCAGCGTGTGTCACCGGATCGCATAACTCTAACGCAACCTTTTCTAGACATCACCAGCTACGACTGGACCAATGGCGTTTGTGTTCTGTCCGTTGACAAAATAGCCATGACCGAGGGCTACATGTCTTCCTATATGCCACGCTATCTGCTTGGCAAAGAGGGCTTCGAGCATCTGGATCCGTTTGTGCCTGTCCATGTTGGCAACTACACGGACAAGGAATTCATTAGCTATATCAATTACTATTTGGATCGCCACTGGATCTCAAAGACGCAGCCGGGCTTCGAAGAGCAGCTCAAATTTTTGAGCAATATGAATCCCTACACCCTAATGCGGCTCGTCAGAGGCCTCTAGTGCTCAACAGCACTTGGTGTTAGTTTGTAAAAGTTGATTAAATAAAATACATGATTTCCTACAAACTGAACAACCATTTCTGCTATGAAACTAATTGCAATATTTTTAAATATCAAAAAATTAAACTGGGTTTTGATAAGTCCTTGTAAAATATGACTCTGGTTTTTGATTTGCCAAAGTAGTCCAGTAAATAATATAAGTTTGGCGCAGTTTGGTTGGATAGAGATTTAAGATCGTTCAGCTCATATAAATATAATCATGTTCCCAGTTAGATTATGTATACATAGATCAAATGTCGTCCTTTGTTGACAAAAAATGTTTTATAAGCAAACCAAAAAAGAATTGTTTTGGATTCAAGTTTATTCAACATATTCAATTCAAATTGTGAATTTATTTAACGATAATCAGCAATATATAATAATGCACTGTAAAATAAGTATAATGTGTGTGTGTGTGTGTGTGTGTGAATTTAAATGAAAAGAAATAATGTTTTGTCGCTTCATAAGCTCCCCGTACACACCAACACATGCATAACAGTACAATTATGTGTGTGTATGTGTGTGTGTTTTTTGTTTTATAAGAAATGCATTAAACAAAAACATAAACTCCAATAACTAACATATTGAAGTGTGTAGATGCCGTATCTTAGGTGTACATTTTTTGGCGTGCGGTCTAAAATCGAGAGTACGTCTCGGTCTACGTCTTCGTCTCGTTCAAAAATAATAACTAAAGCTGCAATTTAACATTGTCACCATATTTGTATGTATATTTGCATAATTCTATTACAATTTTAGTTGCGTTTAACAACAATAACAATTATGTGTGGGTTTGCGTTCTCTTCATTTTCATGAAATGTATTTTTATACTTTTTCTTGTTGTTTTCTTGTATTCTTTGTATGATGTGATAATGCTAAGCTTTTTAATGTTGTCGTATTATCGTAGTCATATAGATTCGTGTTTGCAGTTATTAATTATTGATTTTTCTTTTTTTTTTTTTTTTTTGCTTTTGTGTTTTTGGTTTATATTTTTTTTTATATTTATTGTATGCTTGATTATATGTAGTTGGTATATGTATTAATGTATGTGTGTACGCGATAAGTCATATAATATTATGCTACACGCAAAGTAAAATATGTTTCTGTTATGTCCGACGCGGGTTCCAATTAAAGTTTGACTTGTCTGCGCAACGTAACAAATAAAAAGCCTCCTCGTCGTTAACGAACTTGTTAAAAAATGTTTGCATTGAAGAAATAATTAAATAAGTTGTACGTATGCATTATGAAATGATAAACGAGCAAATGCGTCAATAAGGATTATTAAAAAAAAAAAAACAAAGAGGAAACAAAACAAAAATAAAAATCAAGACATCTTGGGGTCCGTTTGGATAACAGCTACGATCCACAACGAAAAGTTCTTCACAAAACGCTCGCAGAGCAGAACACACAGTTAAAAAAAAGAAAAGAAAAAAGGAAAATACGGAAAGCTTAAAAAATGGCATCTAACGAGTTTCCCGTCATCAATCGAAAGCCCAATCAACGTTCGTCAGTGTGTGTGTGTGTGTGTGTGTGTGTGTGTATATATATATATATGTAGGTGTCGTTGTGTGTGTGTGTGTGTTCATTTGGAGCATTCGTCTACTTAAGCTAATTTCTTAAACGTACATTACTCATTTCATTTCGTTTTGGTTAGGTTTTCCTCTTGTTTTCAACTCTCAAAATCTTGTTAGAGTCAATGTGTGAAAATTTAATGTATGTGTGTTGTGTGTGTCTCTATAATTATTACATCTACCTTTGGAGCAGTGTGTGGCGTGATCCGGCTGAGGCCTCAGCCGACCAGAGCCCAATCAAATGGCGGCGCATGCACATGCACATGCACATTGCTAGGCGGGGCATGCATTTGGATGAGATGATGACAAAATGGTGAACAAACAGCGAGCGGCAGGCAGCGGCGCATTGCTTCTATATTATTTCTTGACAAATTGATATGGGGCAGCGGGACGGTAATGCCTTATTGGCGGCACAGCACCACCAATTCCACCACCAGCGGCAGCAACAATGGTATTTGCCATTATCCCGCCGCCAGCATTGCCCAGGCCAGCGTTGCGCCCATTAAAACTGGCCGAGCTGACCACCATGCAAGGTGAGTCACGCACAATTCCCTGCGGCGGCAAGGTTGTATGCATTGTATTGCCCCGCTGGGCAGCTGAAAGAGATTTTGGAAACGACACTCAACGAGCTGCACATCTAATTAGATGGCACTCACCTGGCACATAGGGCTTTGGCTGGTGATAGGCATTGTTGTGTGAACGGTAGTAGACAGTCTCGTCGTTGTGATGATAGTGCGATTGCTGCTGATACTTTTGTCTGCAATTGACGAGCATGTGGATTGGTGGCTTGGCGTAAATGGGATGAGGTTTTAATTGCAATTCACCTGTAGTTGCCACCAGAGCGATTGTTGCCGTTGCCGCTGCCACCGGCAGCAGTTGATTGTTGTTGTTGTTGTTGCTGCTGCTGTTGCTGTTGTTGCTGCTGCTGCTGTTGCAATTGGCGCAGGGTCAACTTTTTGGCAGCTTCCGGATCCTCCATGAGCTCCCGGTACTGCTCCTGACGAATATCATCGTGCTTATCGGGTATAAGATACCGCCTGATCTCGGCCAGTGCATAGGCAACACGAGCGTATGCCTCGGCTGGTGGCGCTATGGTGGACACTTCGACGTGGAGCGGCAGATTCAGGTGGGCATATTTGGCGTCCGCAGAATTGCGTAGCTCCTCCTCGCGTGTGCGATCCTTCATTGAGAATCGCCCCAGAATAACAATTTTACACTGCGTCTCTTCCTGCAGCCGGCGCAGCGAGTTGCCCTTGGGGCCAAGCAGCTTGCCAACATAGTTGAACTTCTTATCCTTAATCGGCACGTGCACCTTCTGCGACAATTTAATCGTCCGCTGCTGGTACACATCGGCGTACTGGTCTCTCGTCGGGATGCGCCCGTTTAGCTGCACCCTCTCCAAAGCTGTAAGATCGGAACAATTACATATATATACACACACACAACACACACACACAAGGCCAAAGGTATGTATGTATGCATCAGTATTTACCAGTCAGTGTGTACATAGGGTAAACAGATTTAAGTTATTTCATACCTTCGTCAATTAGTTTTAATGCCAATGGAAATTGGCTCTCCATGCGCGATCGCTCGCTCATCAGTTCCTGCATATATTTCTGGGCCGATTCGTTTAGACGCGCCGGCTGCACCTTCTCGTTGTCCGCAGCATTGTGTTCATTCTCGTGCTCCCCGTTGCTGGCGCCAGCATTCGCATTGGCAGCCGCCGCCGATGACCCTGGGCCGACACGCATTCCGTTTTCCGCCATTTGTCCTGCTTTCCCTAACGTCGCCCGTAGTCAATTGATGTGGCGAATATTACCAAAAGGAATCGGCACAGTGCGTGGCGAGTTTTATCTTAATGGCCCCGTCGCCGAGCAGTCGATTTAATTCGAATTTATCAAATATGTTTGCAACCTCTTTGTGGCCCTAATTTTTTCTCTCTTTTTCCATCAAAGTGTGTACATATTTGGCGAATATAGAAAAAACGCGCTTTCCATCGTAAGCTGTCCAGCCCTGCCAAGCCCAAGTGCCACTTTGACCACCACTAGACTTAAATTTTTCAGATCGATAGTATCGATTAGCCATGGCCGAATATCGACTGCTCACGACCCTTTTTACTTTCAATAGTACCATCGCATGTGAACAAAAAAGCGAAAAGGTCTTTTTTTGCAAAAAATTTCGATATCTTCCTGTTAAAAAGGTTAAAATATGTAAACGTGTTTAATACACGCTTAAAGTTGCAAAAGTAATAACACGTTACAAAATAAGACAAAATTAAGCTTTTGTCGAGACAATTAAAAAACTAAAGTAGTGAATCTGAAACAAATGCCTAGAAAATAATACTGTTTTCAATTTGCATTAGAAACAGAAAATACCAAATAATGTAGGACAACAACCAAAACGGCAACACTGATTACCCCATACATAAAAGAAAATTTTTTCAGGCACATCAATTTTACAATTGAACTTTGAATTTCGCTTTGGCTTAATTAGTTTTACCAAGCGATAATTGGCGACCAAGTTATAGATAATTAAAGTGCTTCAAACCAATTAAAATGCCGCGCGACTACGACAGAGACTACAATGAGGACACCGCGGCCGACTACAAGCGCAAGCGACGTGATGATGAGGCAGCCGGCGCCGGCGGCGCAGCAGACGCTCCCGAAGTAGATGGCAGCCATGGGCACACAACTAGCCACGCCCCATTGCATGACACGCCACAGCTGAACGAGAAGACAAACGCGTACCTGCAAGAGTGCTTAATGGAGAAAAAAACACTCGAAAAGAAAAATGTTATAACAAAGCGTCTGCTGGACGATGGTGCGTACAGTACACGTAAGTCATTCTGGGCACAATGCATAACCGGATTTGCTTACTTGCAGAAGTGGAGAAAATCTTGGTCAGTGGTCGCATTCCTAAGCCAGAGATATACGCGAATGTTTACAGCGAGAAGCCAATTAGGGTGGCCCAAAAGGTGCTGTTTCCAATCAAAGAGTATCCGAAATTCAATTTCGTTGGCAAAATACTGGGGCCCAAGGGCAACACGCTGCGCCAGCTGCAGGAGGAGACCATGTGCAAAATGGTCGTTATGGGCCGCAATTCGATGCGGGATCACGGCAAGGAGGAGGAGCTGCGCAGCTCTGGCAATCCAAAATATGCACACCTCAGCAGAGATCTGCACGTAGAGATATCAACAGTAGCGCCACCAGCTGAGGCATACCATCGACTGGGATATGCCCTATGTGAAATACGTAAATTCATGATACCTGACGCCAACGATGACATTCGTCTAGAGCAATTACGCGAAATGGACGGCAAGGAGCGCATGTATAAGAAATCTCATCACTACTCCAAGTCGTATGGTGAACATGGCGCCTATAGCACTCGGTAAATATAAACACCTGCCGCAGCACAGTGTGGCAAAAATACACTTCTAGCTGAATTCAAGATGTTGCATTAAATAGTTAGGCAAGCGCTTAGCATATCTAGCTAAAGTCTGATACGTGCATAGAAAACTAGTTTGAAACAAATCCGATTCGTTAGTTTGCATATTTCTCTATTTATGAAGCATTCGAGTAAGATACTTGAAAATATTCCATTTGTCAGCTGAAAAGTTTAGCTTACGCTTCTTTAGATCACGCCAGAGATATTAGTTTTTGGTCTTCTATACTTATTTTCTTGAAATGTGCACTAAATAATTGTATTTTATTAAAGCACACCACCGCCAGCCACATCTAAGCCAAAGGTGTATTCCATTCTCGAAAAGGCGCGCTATGTAATGGACGATCCCAATTATGGGATTGTTAAAGCTCATAGGTAGGTTTAAAGATAACAACCAATTATTACATTGACTTAATTGGTTTTTCACATAGGTCCCGGGATCACGAGCTATACGATCATCATGGCGAATACGATCGATATGCGACCCCGCCCCCGCCGCAGACGTCGAAGCATTCAAGTCATCACGCCCAGTACGACAGCAGCTCATATGAGCGTGACTATCGTCGGGAATATCATCCGCACTCGTCTTCATCATCGTATGCGGCGGCCTACACAGGTAAGGCTATTCGTAACTAGATAATTAATGTCTTTCCCGCAGCTGGACTGTTTGCAAACGCATAATAAATAAACCGCGCGCAACTGTTGACTAAAAAAAAAAAAAATCGAAACAATTCAACTGCGTTGTAAAGCACCAGAGTCGAACATAGAAAAGAGAACAAGAGAAACAACAAAATACAAAAAATAATACAAAAAATATATATATATCAATATAAAAACGCGAATCAAAATCATGATAAAACGGAAGTCTCACCCATATATATATATATATATGAATTTAACAAGATTTTAAATGCACTACGCCTGACAGACAGGCGATCAAACGACCGAAACTCACAAGCTCAAGACAAACTACTAACAAGATTCGTTGAAAAGCATTCGAAACACACATTTAAAGCAAATATTATCTATTCAATTCGCATACATCAAATAAATGCCAATATATATTTACCTACTTCAAAACAATCTGTGATCAAATATTAATAAACAAAAAAAAAAAAAAAAAACTGGGGCTAGTGCATTCAAAAACGGTTAAACTATTTCTTATTATTTTTTTACTTTTTTTTATGTATCTTAAGGCCAATTAAAACAAAACAAAAAAAAAAAAAAACATTAAATAATGCAGAAAAAGAAAAAAAAACAAAGAAACAGAGACAAAAAAAACAATTGAAATCTAAACAACAAATAAAATTCTTTCCAAAATAGCAAAACCAAGCAACGGTCGTTCTTCATCGTCATATAGACCAACGACATCGGGCTCGGGATCACATTCATCGGCACACTATGAAACTGGATCACGGTCTCGTGAAAGCGTGCGTTATCGCTCGGCTCCATATCCAAAAATGCGCTAATTTATATCCAAATCCAAACCCAATCAACAAAGTTAAGTAGTTTGTATCCATCGACAAGCAAAAAAAAAAAAAAAAACAACAACAACAACAACCAACAACAACATCAACAAAATATCAAAATATATTAAAGTCCAATAATCCAACCAATAATACATACACTTACTTATAAATGAAAACCAAACAAAATTTAAATGCAAAACCTATTTTATAGTAATTGTTGTTCAAAATATTTAATTTGTGTTAATCCAAACAAAAAAACAAACCCACAAATATTAATAATAATGCAACAAACCTAGAAAAAAAAAAAAAAAACAGCTACATCAAACTTGAAAATATTTTGTAAAAATCGTAAAAAAAGAAGAAAACAATTCACAAAATCAGATATAATATAAGAAAAGAGAACAAAAAACAAAAACATTATACACACACCTATTTGCAATCGTAAAAACCAATCCCTAATTATTCTTAACAAAATGTTAGCGTAAGTTTTGGAATTATTTTTCAAATAAGTTTATGAAGATAAACAATACAAATAAAAAAAAAAAAAAAAAAAGAAAAGTTAATGCAAAAATAAAATAAAACAGAAACGCCCAACGACAAAGTAAGTATGCAACGGCTTCAATAAATAAAAAAAAAAAAAACAAACCTAAAAGAAAAAGCACATCATAATTAATTTTCCGGCTTCGTTACCATTCAAAGCTTTCCACGTTATATATATGTGAATGAGAAACATAATTGTCTAATATACTTGATTATTATTTATATAATTATTAACGAACATGTGCGCATTCAAAACAGAATGAATCAAATATAATACTTAAAATCTCTTAAAACTTCTCTCTGTTCGACGAACACTATCCCAAATAAATACAAATTATAATAGAACCATATCATAAGCGTTTTCTTCATACTCTGGAGGAGCTGCATAACAACGAGAGGACATACAGCAGCAGATATACAGATATAATAAAGCATAATCATAAATAATTGTAATATCACAATAGATGCAGTTTATTATTTCCTGTTGTTAAAAATTCAATGCACCATCCAAGAACATAAGACTGTCCACAGCGGATATGGCCAGATCCACGTCTCGCTTCTGTACGGTCTTCTTCTTGGCCTGAGCCGTATAGGTGAAGGCCTCGCGCGCTAACGATTCAATGAACAATTCCACGGCTTTTGTTACGGCAAAAACAGCCTCATTTGAGGCGATTTGGAGATCTGGATCCAGTTTCATTATATTTCGAATGCGAGCCATCGGCAGCTGTGTGAGTTTTGCGTCATGTTCGTGCTCTGACGTCTTGTTGGCATTGCCTAGAATAATATTAACAATTTCAAACAAGTTTCAAATATCATTCGGTGAATTGAATTTAAGCGTAAGCCTCTAACTTGTTTTTGCCTGTTCAGTGGTCGTGGAAGCCGGAGGATCAACATTCGCGGAGCTCGGTATGTTAGTTTGCTCAATCGCCTGCTCAACCTCTTCAGCGCCATGTTCAGCCGCGTCTATATTCATTTCATCGCCTTTATCAAAGTCCTGCCCCAGATCGGGTTCCTCGGAGTAATCATTTTGAAACAAATCCTCACTTGCCATGGCAACGTTTGATTTTCCGCTGCTTTCTGGTAAATAATGTGTTTTGCTTTGCCCAACAGAGTCTGCCGCCGCCAAAAAAAAGTATCGGCCTACCGCCACAAGCATCGATAACAGAGTCGTTTCAACTTGCAATCGCCGACAACTTGACAAGTTTAATCGAGGAAGAAGAAGAATAGCGTTGCAAACTATTATACACAATTTTCACGTGAATTTAATTGAAAAATCTTAATATGGATAATTCGAATAGTGAATTTAGTGAAAAACCAGCCCCACATGAGCATCAGCCGCGCTTAAATGAAGTAGCACAGAAATTCTTGGCCGATTTAGATGAGGAACGCCAGCGCCTGTCCGCCGAGTTCCCATTATGTGCCTTGCTAATTGACGAAGGTATAAAAAAAGAAACCAACATATAGCTTGCATAAATTGCCTACATATGTTTTTGATTGCAGCCGTGGACCGTGTGTACTGCACAGGTCGCATACCTGGCCGCGAGTTTTACGCCGACGTTTACAAACAGAAGCCAATGAAAATAACACAAAAGGTGTTCGTGCCAGTCAAACAATACCCAAAGGTAATACCAACAGAATATTAAAGTGCGGCTTACATAAATCGCTGGTACTTGCAGTTCAATTTCACTGGAAAGATTCTGGGTCCCAAAGGCAATTCACTGCGTCGCCTGCAAGATGAAACACAATGCAAGATTGCCATTAAAGGGCGCAGCTCCATACGTGACCGCAGCAAGGAGGAGCAGCTGCGAAATTCTGGAGATCCGCGCTATGCTCATCTACAAAAGGACCTCTTCCTAGAAGTCAGCACTGTGGCCACGCCAGCTGAGTGCTATGCACGCATCGCTTACGCCCTGGCCGAGATCCGTAAGTATCTAATTCCAGACAAAAACGACGAAGTCTCACATGAACAGTTGCGCGAGCTTATGGAAATGGATCCAGAGTCTGCCAAAAACATTCACGGGCCCAATCTGGAGGCATACAGGTACGCACCGGAATCGCACAAATCTTATTTGTACACATTTGAAAATCCAATCAATTCTTAATTGCAGATCCGTTTTTGACAAGAAGTTCGGTGGCAGCAGCGGCGCACCGAAATACTTGAATCTTATCAAGAGAACAGCGGAAAATCCGCCCGAGTAAGTTACTTGTAAAGTATAATTTTAAATTAAATTTTCTGTACGCATCAAATAAGCAACGGATACGAAACGAACGAGGCAGCATATAACAAATTTGAGCTTTAAACTAGTTGCTTAAATATTCACTTCGTTTAATATAATGCCATCCATTTTTAGAGCTGAGGAGGCTGAAGAGGTGGCCTACGAGTATGATCATCGCATGCCCAAGCGTAGCGCACCATCGGGCTATGAATACACCAAACGTAAGTTGAGCCAACGATTTGTAGCTAGAAAACCCTTAAAACAACTTATTTAGGGTGGGGATTGGGTATTGGGATTCAACCAAATAAATAATATCGATTGCATAAACTATTAAAAAAAAAAAAACAAGCATTTGAACGATGACTAATTTTTAAAATAACAAATTTTCTATTTATAACTTTATATACCTACTGAATTTTTACGTACATATAACATATTAAAAATGAATAATTTTATAGCACGCCCATCAATAATACCAACAAACGCAGCTGCATATAAACGGCCTCAGCCATACCAAACTGACATGAAACGTATGCGCGAACCACCCATCAAGTCTTATAAACCGAATACGTACACCATTCTGAAAAAGTATAAATAATACGCAAATTCTCTAAGAAAATATAAGTTGAAAATACATACACATATAAAAGGACAAGCGAAAAAGCGATGTAATAGTTACAAAAAAAATAATGCGAAAAAGCAAAAACTCTAAGAATAATATTAATTTGAAAATCAAGAAAACATTTCAATTTATTTTGGCCTTGGATGGAAACACACTTTTGAAAGCTACCAATTCCCAATGCTAAATAAATATGAAATATATAATACATTAATGAATATATATCAAAAGATAAAAAGTTTTTAATTTCTATTATAATGTTCACGCCCTATCACACTCCCTGTAAGTATTCACATAATTCGGCACGTTGATGGATGTGAGCATTCCGAAGGCCAATTAAATTATTCTTACATTCGAAAACTATTTAACTAAGTATGAAGTGAAAGAAATAAACGAAATCAATTTTAATAAACTAAAAGCAGCTGATAAATATTTGATTATAATAGATACATAAACAACGGCTTGCCAATGAGTTTGTCACTAGCAATAGAATTTATAAATAAAATAAAACTTTTATAACAGCCAGAGTGCTTATTAAATCGGCATCAAAAAGTACAGTACCACTTTGTTTATAAACAATTAAATTTGGATCAATGCATATATTTAAATATCAATGAAAAGTTCAAGTTTATAACAAAATATGCGCATATTTCAATAAGATAATAATAAAGACTATCAAATAAATTTATCAATTTTTTAAATTACAATAAATAAATAATATGCTCAGCACAATAACAATTATTCGATATTCAATGTAAAATTTGAACAAACGAATTACTTTTACAGCTGGCTGAGATCATTTCTTGAGCCGAGCGAGTCTCTATGGATGATCTGACCTCAGATACCTTTAATACCTTTATTTTATACATAAATATCATTGTCATGTTGCAAGCAACAATTCCATGTCTGAGGTATGTACACAAATATATAAATATATATTTGAATAATTTTTGATTACAATACAATGATTTTAATAAATTCAATATTGAAAAAAATAAAATAAACTAATTTATGCATATTTTTTTCTTAACATATTAATCAACTTGAAGTTTCCAGGTTAACGTAATAAATGTAGCAATTTTTTTAATATAATCAACTTCTTTGTTTTGAGGGCAAGAAAAGCATTAAAGTCTATACAAATTGTTAAATATTCTCAGCTTTTGATAACAAAACGATAAGCCACGGACTAACAAGTCGTTCTATGAATTCGTAATGAATGAATAATTATTTATATCGGTATATGATGTCATTTTATAGGTTTTAGAAAATTGATCAGTCCAATATGTATATAATTAGGTCTCTAAAAATTGTCAGCTTCATTTAATATACTTAATGTGTATATTTTATATTCTTGTAGGAGGAGACATCGGCTAGCATATAAACATTCAAGAGACTGTCGTAACGGACATAGGAATAATCATTCGAAAATCAATGATCTGAGCCTGGTTGTGCCATGCTTCTTATATAGGCGCCAAATCTTATGAATATCGTGCAGATATATCATCGATAGAAGGTCCTACGAAAATGCCGGTCGTAAATGTGATTTGGTACTTATATTTTTCTTAATGTTTCACAATATTCCGCATATTTGCAAGGGTATTTTATAATCGTTCATATCCGTTCATTCTTCTTTTGATTGATACGAAGTGTCCCACCCAAAGCTGATAGCTTTGTCAGAAGTTAACTGACCAAGTATTTATAAATATTTAATGATTAATGTTCATTATTATTAGTTATATACATATTTAACAATTTAAAAACTTATATTCTTCATACTCGAAATTAATTCTTAACGTGTGGGGCTACGCGCGATAGTATAAATTGCCTCCTGTAAAGGCTGCAATCCAAATTTGTTTCAACACCTCGTCGTACGGATTTTGTGCATAGTTGTAGGCTTCTTGGCAGGCTGATTGCCTCTGCATGTGCTCCAATATTCGATGATAGACATCTACCGCTGTCTGGAGCCGATTGCAGCGGCTTTCCTCGCACAAGTTTCGCTCGCTTGCGACAGTCGCACAGCTCTCCTGCGCCGTGGCAATGGTTTCTGTGTTTGGAATCATCTGAAGTGAGTACAGCTCAAATTAGTGTAATCCTTAATTTTTAGCTATAGATTATAGATTTTCACTTACTTTTTGGTATGCAGCAGCACAGATTTGATTCGATGACTAGATGTGTCCTGGCCGCGTTGCAGTTGTCGACTGCCGCTCGCAGGAAGCTAAACATGTTTCTGAGCCGCGCTTGGCTTGTGTCGCATGTCGGTTCCACCACCCTGGCGTTGGTGTGCCACTGAGTGGCCCATTGTGTTGTTCAGCCTGCCCTGCCATATGGCCTGCATGTCCTGCGCACATTGCGGAATTCCTACCCACAAGCTGCAGCTGGTCGGCTGACGCCCGGCGAGCTGCCTGCGCGAGACAGAGTCCGCGTGCATTGTTTGTCCCTATCGCGCGACCCTCTACGCCGTGCCGTGCTGTGCCGTGGCGGGTGTTTACTTCTTCAGCCGCCCCTATCCGCTCCACTATTCAGTTCGAGCTGTCGAGCGCAGCCAAGCAAGCGCTCACTATGGCATTCGGTAGGTCTCCATAAGGGTGAGTTTTACAGCATAAAAGGCTGAAATTGAAGTTTTAAACGATATCTGCATTGATTGCGCCGCACAATTCCTTCAGTTCTGTGCAGGCTGCATTTACAGCCATTGTCTTAATGATTATATCATTAAAATAAAGTAAACAATTAGCCTTTGTGTGTGTTTGGTAGCTTCAATTTATTTTACTTTCTCTGAGAGTTTCAAAATATTTATTTTCGATTTTGTATTAACTTAAGACACTTGTTCTCGTACATTTCATGTATTTGTTTAATTACTTTGTTCAACAAAATATAAGAAATATAATTTGCATATATAAAATTATATTTTCCATATGAACACTAGCTTTGATATATATTTTTCTGCTGGAATCGTATATTTAATCTAGATACTTAAGAATACATGCAAAACAAGATGTTACCCCTTTTATTTTTTTTTTGCTATTTATCTTGAGTTTGGTGGGCATAACATATTTAAGAAGTTGTGCACATTAAATATTTTTGGAATTTAGAAACTTGCTCGACCTAACTTTTTTGGCTAGGTTCAGAATATATAGCGGCAATAAGTACAAGGGAATAACAACATGTTTAATTGTATTATTTCCGTGGGCATATAGTTTTAATATTGTTTTATGTGCTCGCGGCTTGAGTTATTCATCCCATAATATTTCATAAGCATTTCTTCTCACACACATTAGTTAAGCAGGTCCAGCGCTGAGATGCTTGTACCTTACAAACATGGATTCGTCCATTCAATAGCTAGTCGGAAAAGTAGCTTTAACATTTTACCACTAAACATTTAGGTATGTATGTATCTGTATATACATGCAATGCAATTAAATATATTATTTCTTATATCTATATTCTATAATAATAAAGCAACACCTAACATAATTGTATAAGCAATGCTCCAATTGCATGGAAATGGAACCAAGGAATCCTTAATTCGAAAATCAGCTCATTTAACTACTCGGATTCAAGCTCGTCTTTGAGTGTGCGCAGTTCTGTAAGTCCTTCTGCCATAAAATGTTCAAGTGCCGGTGGTGCATGGGTTAAATGTGGTTTTAGATTACGGATATTCAGAAACGGGCTGTTGCAGATCGATAGACGAGCGAAAGAGCGCTCAGGATTATGCAGTTCACAGCTGTTGGCCAGCTGAGATTAGGGGCTGAGCTCGGAGGCGGGCTGGTTGGCGGCAGGCCAAGTTTGATGGTTATCTGGCGGCTCACATTAGCCGGCATCACGTAACATTCGAAGTTGTGGCCAGTCGCGTTGGCCAGCGGCACATTCAGGACGAACTGGTTGTCCAGACTGTAGATATTGATGATCGACTGGTTGCCATTCACGACGAGCTGCTTGTCCCGGTACCAGAGTATCGCATGGTGTATGGCTGAAAGCATATGAAGCACGATATATGGCAATTAATGCCCAGCTGGGACACACCCCAAGTGTCTTCAATTTACCATCATAGTTCTTAACCGGGCAATCGAGCTTCACACTAGTCGCATTGGGCTGAACATAGACGACTGCCGTTTTCTGATCGAAGTATGGCACTATTGGAGCTGCTGTGGATTTGGCCAAATTGCCGGGCGAACGCGAGGCGTCATCATCATCGTAGACATTCTCATAATCGGGGCTTGTCTCGCCGGCGGCGTGTGCTGTGGAGTACACACATACATTATAGGATAGAATGGAGAATGACTGAGCTGGGCGAGGCAAGGTCAACAACAGTAGCGAGCACACCTGGATAACGTAATTAAGGCCCAATTATGCACTAAATACCCACTCTATGCTGACTGACCATACTCTACAGATTTTCGTGTCGTGCGATAATCGAGCTTATCCGAAAATCGGCTGGGCCGAAGCTTAGATTCTCTAGCCGAAACCCTGACCCACCCGCGCCCATCTGACGACGACAGCATAAAACCATTAGGAAAAGGGCGCAGCCCAGGTGGCAGGGTGTCAACGCCCATTTGGATGACTAGCACGGCACATGCTCATATTCCACGAGTCTTCACATGCCATGTCAGCTCCTCGAGGTCATTATAAGTTTATGGCATAACAGCTTCAGCACACGGGAATTGTCAGTGAAGCGTTTTCGGGATTTGGACACGGACACGGACACCATATACTTGTATATTGATTTATGTCAAGGCTTCCCACACAAGTATTCACAATATGATGGTGGAGATACGTATTCGAATTGCTTGCGTCATTTGCACTCTTAGTCCAACGCTTAGGGTCCTGAAATTGGCAACCTACCCACACACACACACACAACAACACACACACACTCAGCGTGCGGTAAGTTATTTGTCCTGTTTATTAACACACATCGAATATCGAGCGTTTATGTATCTAGGACTTGTGCTAGTCAAACTCAAATAGGTCACAGTTACAGCAGCTAACCATGTCTGTGGCTAAATTCATTCATATGATATATTTATTGAACACTAGCCCACATCAAATACAAATATGATAAAGAATTCAAGAGGGCTACAAGCTCAACAATTGTTTTCTTATCATTTTCGGTAGAACAATTAAATGTGCTTTAAGTAAAAGTAATTTTATTGAATTGAATTTATCCCGCATAGACCAAAATCTCTTTAGTCTATCAGATTTTTTAAAATATTGTTTGGCTCGGGCTTATCTTAAGCTAGATAAGAAACAATCCGACTTAAAGATTGGTGGTTGTAATTAATGGGTTTCCGGGCCTTAACTATTTGGGCTCTGGGATTAAATAATAGTATAGTAGAAGCAAGATGTGCGCATCCGGAACAGATAGCCAAAGGTAACATAAGGCGACTGTTTCCACTCTACGAGATACTCATTTAATATATTAATAAACGTAAACACGAAAAGCTATTCATTCTTGCTGGATAACCCTGGGGTGAGCCATTCGAACGATGTACAGTCATTTTGTCGTGTTCATTCAACAGCCCCGGCTCCCAGTAGCTTAATTATTCAAAGTCACTTTAATCATGCTGATATTTTTAACAATGTGCTCATTGCCCCATTCCATGGTTGAGTCTGCGGTGGCACCAATTTGTCCATTGGTGCCCAACCACATAAATACCCTGCTCAACGCCGTCAGCCACAAGTGGCTCCCGAATTTCATTCAACTGTCATTGTTATGGTTGCCAAGACGCGTTTCCCATCAACGATGGGCACGAGCTCGTCTCGGTCTGTAAGGAAATTCTCTATTTCTAAGTACGTGTCTACGTATATACGTGACCATGATGATAGATAAGCTTTGTATGTCTCTATTCCCATAAATAATTGCGAATATGTAACTATTTGTGAATACAAAAACATTTGTTTATGTTTATTCATTAATATTGTGACAATTCGATATTTGCAAGCCGAGAGACTCATTCAAAGATTTTCACTCTGCTACACTGAGAGAAAAACGGCGAGCCAATTTGCGTATTTCATTCATCATTAATAAATAAAATGGTTAAGGCTTTGAGCGCGTATCAAGTTTAATTCTTACTTAATTTCTGATGAACTTAAAGAGGAATTTCTTATTAGTTTAAATATCCTAGTAAAAAGACGATTCATTTGAGTATGGTTGTTCCTAAATTGAAGTTATTTTGTTGTTAGTTTAAGATTCATTTAAACTTTTAATATTTATTTGTTCAATATTTATCTTAATGTGGCCTACAAACAAACAAAAAAGTTAGACCTTAAAGAAGAATTTTTTACTTGAATCAAGTTTTGGTTCTGATTTTTGCCATCTTTAGACGAGCAAAGTTCTTGATTTGATTAAAAATTGAAGATTTGTGGACGGATCATTTATAACATTTATCTGAATAATATGACCAAAAACTATGTAGAATACTTTGAAGCCTTAATTTCTATCGGTTATATCTAGCTTCAAGATTTTCATGAGTAATTTTGATCCAGTAAAGTTTAAATTTTTTCCTTAGCATATTTTTGGGTGTATATAATAATTCCAGTTATATGAAGTTGAGGAATTTTCAGCATTTTCCAAGTTGCAACGAATCAGCTAATGGCTTTGTTTTGGTGGCCAGAGAATATTTTTGTTTTTGATGCAGATGCATGGTTAGCGGTTCGTTGGGAAAGTGCAATGTTCTTGGTGGAAGAGGGGGTTGGGTTAATCCATCGATTTTGTGCCTTGCATCCAGTTGGCTTGTGGCATAAAACGCAGGCACTTTGTTGAAGGGCTCTCTTTTTATCGCTGTGCTGTAATCTTGGGATTATGCAAACCGAAGGATTGTGTATACAGCCAGATATTATATATTCCTCAAGAGTAGGCGCCATATGGAATCGCTGCCGCGGGCAACACAAAAGCTACTCTGAGATATTTGTGTGTGTGCAATATGTGTTGGGTATAGCTACTTGTGCCATAGTTTTCGCATGGAAATAAAACGAGCTAAGGCTATTTAAAAATGAAAAATAAATGGAAAATATGGCCGAGATTTGTGCACAACACATGTGCCAATTGGCAGATCTGTCAACATGACGTATGATTGATAAACTTAAAATGTTTCAGCCCAATATTTGTTTGGCAAGTCGATTGACCAAGCAATATAAATGGGATTTGCTCAAAAGATGTTTTCAATGTGAATAGTTTTGGAATATGTGTGCATAAAACAGATGCCAGAGATTAACTTAAGCTGCAAATATATGTAAATAAATGAATATATTCACATGAATGCCACAGCTATAAATAATTGTTTGTGCGTGAGTAAATGGAACTGCAATATGCTTGAATAATTCGAAAAATAAATGCCTAACTGATGGCCAGGAATCCATAAACATTAAACAGATTCAAGTTGAATTTCTTGAATCGTTCGCAAATGCAACCAAGATGAATCAGAGCAATGGATTTGTACCTGGCATTTGCAGAGATCCGATGATAGCTGCCAGCAGCAAAAGATGCGTCATTCTGGACATTTCGATTGTAATTAAGATAATTGCAGCTGCTTTAACTAGGAATCCTTTTCACTTTTCTGTGCGATATGTACTCTATATTTTTTTTTTTTGGTTTTGTTTTTATGTTTATTTATGTGCAAAAACGAGAAGCGCGAAACCCGTTCACTTGGAGCGACACTGAGACACTGAGAACTTTGCGTGGGTTGTTTTGGTTGTTTGGTCGGTTTGCCGTCGCGCGGAGAGCACACCACGAACCGTGTAGGACGACTGCTGGCGAATGCCAGCAGAACTCGCGATGCAGCATAAAAAATATACACATATAAAAAAGGAAATAAACGAAAACTATGCGAACGCTGATGACGATGACTCACAATGCGCTCCCAGACTTGCGGCCCAATTGCGAATTGGCGCAAGCTTCACAACGAGGATATTGGACATGTTCTTCTCTCTATTTCTCCGCCCCTCTCTCTCTCTCTCTCTTTCTCTGTGGAGCTACACTGAATGCTTCGTCGACTTCCATTTGCCATTTCCCCATTTGGTATTCATCGCATGCCCATGCGCAAAAGCGACCACTAAATGAAGTTACGGCTCCAGCAAACTTCACAAAATAACAACCAGTCCGTGGCCTAAATGTCGTAAAACTGTTGACTTATGGAGGGTGTATATATAAATGCATATATGTATGCACTCATAAACACTGCCTAGGTCAGTGCGACACACATGTTATGCTCTACACTGTACAGAAAAGGGATACAAACAAATCATCCAAGAAGTAGGTAATCTTTAATTATGATCGAATCAATAATATTTTTCATTACCAATTTTTATCACTCTACCGCCAAAATAATGGAAGTGATAGATTTTCCGAATTATCATATTATTGCTATATCATTTTAACATTTAAGAGTATATATATTTAAAGTTGCAAGTCTCTTGAAATTAAGGACAGTGTGTGGGCGTGTGTGTGTTAGTGTATGCATGCATGCATGTATGCATTTATGTGCATATGTATGCATGCATGTTTCTCTTCTAATACCAAACGCAGATTATTTGTCGATGTGCTGCAAATTAAAATAAAAACGAATTCAAGAATTCGAGAATTCAAGTAGGCTCTGCTCTAAGTACTCGTATGCATGTATGTAGGTATCCGGACATGTATGCATACATGTGCGCATGTATGCATGTTTGTTTTGTATATATGCAAGCATGCATACACACATTTAACATATATGCAAACTTAAGACTTCACCCAAAAAATCTTTGAATTGCGTTTCTATCGAGGAAGCTTAAATTCTAGTGTGAAACACGTCTAAATTGTTTTCATATTTTAGCCAAACCCCGCTCTTAACTTCCACCTTATTCACATAAGCTAACTACAGTGAAAACTTCAGCTTCCTAGCTCTTACGGTTTGGTCTGTGCGTTGATCACTAATCAGTCAGTCAGTAAGAGATCTATACAAAGATTTTCTTAATACTAAAACGCATTGCTGGATAAATATAGTGATATAATAAAAATACACGATATGCATATCCATGTCTACATTTCTTGTAACTACCATAAAAAGATTGCAAAGCATTTTTTGAGTGTATGTTTACATATGTATTATGAGTGTTTACTTCTTTTTGCTTTGTGGAAGATTGAAATTCTTTAGCACATTTGCTGACACTTCCAATTCCAAACAATTATTTCTGTTTCCTTTGCTGGGGACTGTGGGTCCTGTTTCATCCATTACGGGCTGCTCTTTTGCACAAACACCAGCAAAACAACCCCCGGCACACACCCACGTCCGCACACACACACACGTCCACAGACACACACACACACTGACGAGATACTAGTCTGGTTTGACATGCACGTATGCGCCGCGTTGCCAACTATGTTGAGCACAGCCGGCATACCAATGCTTAGCTCTAGGTTCTAATGCTCTCTTAAATGCGCACGGGGTCTCTTAGCTGCTGCTCACTAATGGAGTCTGCGCGGCGACTGAGATGAGCGAGAGATACAGCTACTAAGATCTCTAGAATGCTTTATGCTGGCAGCGCGCAGCTTTTAACCGACCGACACACACACACACACAACAGTCACATAGATATATGCATATGAATTGTCGCGGTTGTTTATTTGATTAATTTGTTTCCAAAGTTGTAAAGAAAATTCTCAGAAATTCGGTGAATGCCGCCGCCCAACAATGTGTGCGTTGTCTACGTGTAAATATAAATATTTGATTAATATCCTGAGCATTGCTTAGCTGCAGGCGCGAACATGTGCAGCATTCGGGGTGTTGCTGGGGGAGCTACAAAATCTCAGACTGCTGACTGGCCCCAAATCTGAATTTGCGGATGTTTACAAAAAACTTGGCACCCAGGCAAGCAAGCAACCAGGCAGCCGGGCAGTCGGGCAACCAGGCCCAGTCCCCAACAGAAGACAAAACACAAACAACAAGATGAATGTGAAATACACACAAATACATGCGCTCATAATGCATAATGCATCCGCGAGATACTCTCTCACTCACACAATACGCACTTTGTTTTATGGTCGTAGATTAATTTTAATTGTTTGTTTGTCTCGCTTGCAACTCGAAACATATCAGCAAATGTTGCATTGCACATTACATGTGTCCACAAGCAGAGCACAAACATGACACTGTCTGACAGTCGTCGTCATATCTTGCCGCAAACTGCATCTGTGGGATGCGATCCCCCAACGTACAGAGCCACCGCTGCTGTGGTCTCTCCAGAGCAAGTAAATCACAGTGCCTGCCAGGGCAATCGACGGGCTTCCCATACAAAACGCTGGGAACGTTGCGATTTCATTAAGCAAATGCACACTGTAAAATGGAAAATGCCAACTTGAGATGTTTCCCGGTTCTGCAGATGACTCTGCAGCGCTTCTGGGAACTTCCATGTAAGAGGAGCATGTAGAGCAGTCAGAGCATATTAAAACGGCGAGCAGCAGCAGAAGGCAGTTCGCAACGAAATGTGCAGTGCCAAATAAATTAATGGAATTCAGCACAGGAATGCCTAAATAAGATAAACATGATATAATTACATTTTTTATGCTTTCGCGAGTTGCATGCCAAATTAATTGCTAACCGATTGCCTTTAATTTAACCCACATTTGCTGCAAGCCAGGATGCTGACGCTTTCACATATGTTTTTATTGCCATTTTGCGCAAAATACAGTTCGTATGTAAAATTGGACACATATATATTACCCAGCTTGGCCTGGACAAAGGTTATTTTTTAAAATTTGTTTCTCACTTATATGCGGCATGTGCAAAATGCGAATAATTTCCTTCTAGCTAAAGCTTTCCATTATCACTCTGCTGCATAGAATATCATCAAATGAATGAAAAGTTGTTAGCAATAATTTCCGCACTTTTGAAATGTATTTCCAGAGAGATCTTTGAAGGTGAGCTTGAATCCATTCGGATGGTTATCAGTTACCACTGAAATTGTTCAAAACTTTGACTTTTTTAAAGACATATTAAGAGAGCAATTAAAGTGGTTTGAACCCGGTAGAGAATTGCATTTACGCACGTCACAAGCCAGATGCTAATCTGCTTAGACATGACAATTATGCTTGTTGTTGCAAATTAATCATTTGAAAATAAACAAATGCTAATTACATTTAATAGCAATTTAAACATTAATTATCTCCCAGTTCGCGTATCAATAATTTATAGATTGTATGAAATATTAATCATACGCCCTGCTGAGAAATATTCTAGAAACTTCGAAATACGCGGATGTTTCTTGTGCTTAGCAACTTGTTAAATAAGTTACTTCAGTAAATTTCATTTTAGGTATCCATATCAAATAAGAACTCAGCAACGCCGTTTTATTGCTTAAAAATGATTTGATCTCATAGTTATTATATACCTATATATGCAGCTTATTATTCAGCGAAATCCGCATGATTATGGTTGGCCTAAAGCCAAATTTCTAATAATTCATATATGTGCATTCCATATTTATTAAATAATTGAAAGAACTTGCTCAAATTCTAGGCAAATAGCGCCTGAATTGCTCTCAAAATACAAGTCAACGCATGTTTCTCTTTGATATAGGTGCGTCGCTCTCTTTAGGTAACTCTTTGGCAATGCCACAGACTGTGCGCTCTCGCCCGCTCGCCCGCTCGCCCGCACGTCCGCATGCCACCACCGAATCACCGCCGGCCCAGCTCCGAGGTCGACGTCATTTGTTACTGCACTCTTGTGCCGACCAGTTCGAGTGCGAGTGTGCGTTAAAGCCGAAACGAATACCCGAACCCGAAACCGAAATTAGCCGAGTGTTTGGAAAAGTTATTTCATAAATTCGCGCCTACGAAGATAGTCCAACAGTCAAGCTTTATGCGGAGATCACGGTGCTTGGATTCGGAAACGTTATCGTCCAGTAATTAGTGAAACTTTTCCCTGGATTTCCTATACATTGTTTATCTGTGACAAAGTGTAGAGCGTGCGGAGTGCCGAGTGCAAGAGTTGGAAATCAAAATACAAAACAAAATAATTACAAAGCCCACCAAAAGAAAAGTGCTGAATATGTAGGCTGAAAACTGGGACGCTGAACTCTTCGAAATCGACTTCAAATTAATTACTCGGCAATAATTTTGGTTGATTTTATTTTTTTGGAAAATCACAAGAATAATAAACACGCGATCGAACAAGCAGCCAAAGACGCTAACGAAGACGACGTGTGACACAGTTTAACATTTGGACGACGTCTTTGGAATAGTATATTATTCCCAAATACATTATCATATTACTTTCGAGTGTCGAACAGTTAAGAGCGCTCCAGAAATCAAACGAAAAATGGTGTCGAGCACAGCCCTAAAAAAAGTTCTTATATCAGGAGTGCTGCTCATCACGGGATGTTGCCTGGGTAAGTTGTATTCCGGCGGTATGATCGTATGATCTATGTGCAACGGAAATCTGTTGCAATTGTACGGTTTAATGTAAGTCGAGCACTTCGGCACAATCTAATCTGTGTGCTTATTGGGACCCTTTGAACTGACTTAATCGCATGCATCAGATTCACATGCATCGAAATAAGTATTCGAGCATCTAAATAAAAATGATTGTGTGTCTCTGGAATGTGTTGGACAAGTTGAGTTTGAGTATACAAAATATTTAGACAGCTCGAACTGACTCACACTCATTCCAGAGGATTAAATAGTATCATGTATATCCTGATTCATAGTCACAGATCTTATAAAGAATGTCTGCATTTATTTTGGAGGTGTGACAATTTTTCTACGTGACA